GGTGCAGGCGCCGCGCACGAGGGTTGCGCCGGCGAGCTGTGCGGGATCCTGTCCGGCGGCCATGCAGAGGCCGTTGCTCAGACAGGCCCAGCCCTGGTTGCAGCAGTGCGAGTGCGTCGTGTCGGCGCCGCCGCCGCCGCACGGGGCCATGTCGGCGGCGGCGGCGGTGCTGTTGGGGAAGAAGCAGGGCGCATCCGTCGACTGGGCTGCTGTCGTCGGGAGGAGAAGGGCGAGGGCGGCGGAGACGATGAGGAGGAGAGGCGGGATGCCATGTGTGCTGCTGCTACCTGTCGGTCCCCGTCTCGCCAGGGAACATGGTGTCTGGCGTGGACTGTTCATCACGTTTGGTTGTTGGTCGAGTCAAAGCCCAGCTTTAGTCGTACTCATGAAGTGTTGGCGAGCGAGCGTTGTGGCGCCAAGCAGCGACGTTGGCAGCGTTGGTGACAAGATGTGCTGATGTTGATGGTCGTGGTGATGAGGGTTTTGATGGTTGTGATGGCGATGATGATGATGATGATGGTTGACGACCAGGTCGAAACGAACGAAACGGGCATCAAGACATGAGAGTGACCCAAACCCGGAACAAGACATCAACCCCCCTGCCCTCGAACGCAGCCCAACAGCAGGACACCCGCCCTTTTTACAATATCCCCGAGTTCACCGATCGACAACCGGGGTAGCCGTACTCTGCCCAAAACACACCCAGCCCGTGCCCCCCTCCCCCCCCCCGTCATGACTTTGATTGACTCTTTTTCCCACGCGCGAGACACAGCGCCTCGCCCCTCCCCTGCCCTACTCTCGCTCTCGTTCACGAAGCGAGGGCCGATCCACCCCCCCTCTGGGTCTGTCCAGCTTCGATTTCACCAACCCGGAGAGCGCAGAGCGCGAACGAGCAGCGCGGGCGGCCAAGGACAAGCAGAGCCCGCGCCGCTTGGCCCGTGGCGGAGCAGCGCGCCGTTTCGCTGCGTGGGGCCTGGCGTGAGCGGTGGAATCAAGGTTATGGACGATCCCTAGCGCGTGGCCATGCTTTCTTGTCGCCGCCGCTCTGCTGCCGGCACCAGACAACCAGACCAGAAGGGTGGGAATGGGAAATAACACACAAGAAAGAAACGGCTCTTCTCACTGGGGCCGGGGCTTCAGCACAGCCGGGATGCCCCCCCCCCCCTGGCCAACCCAATCTCGACGCTTGCTGTGGTGCCAAGGGGATGCCAAGTGGACGCTGGTACTGGTGCCAAGCGGCACAACTGCCCTTCGGCGCAGGTCTGACCTATTTTTTGACACAGCGTTGCTAGCTTCGCTGTCTAGCTGCTCCCCGTTGCTACTGCGTGCGTACGACTGCTGGGGGAGGGGAGCTGGAGAGCTGGGGAGCTGGGTGGTGCTGCGCAAAAGGTGAATGCTTCGCCCTGTTCGCGTCAAGATGATCATCACACCACTTTTCCTTTCTCACCCCGCCTGCCCATGGATCCCCGTCTCTCTGCCTCTGCTCTGTCTCTGTCTCTCTCTCGCTCTCACTCACACACACTCTCTCTCCACACACCCCAGGGTGGAAAGGCCGTGGTGGCCGTGCTGGATAATGCCATTGACCCGTTTCGTTTCATCTCTGCATCGCTCTGGGTCTGCAAGCAACGCTACCAATCGTGAGCACAACATCATGAGACGATGACGCATTTCCTGATTTTATGTCTCCACCATTTTCCTTCCTTACTCGTTCTCCGGGGATGGGGAAGGGGGGGAACATGGGCATCAAAGAAGATTGCTCTCTCCTATCCTATCGGGAGGCCCCCCCGCTCTCGACGGAATCCAACGGAGCCGGTGACCGGGCTCCGAGTCAGCTGCCGAGCCTGGCATCCGAGACGAGAGGAACATGGTGGAAAGCCCTTCAGCACCAGCCCTTGCGCTTGACCTTGGACTTGACTTGGACCTGGACGTTTCTCTGCTGCCCAAGAATGCCCGCCGGCCCCACACGCCTTGAGGTGCCTGTCGACGCCCCTACAACGTGGATCGCGGATCCCCTCACCGATCTCCGGTCCCTTACGCGTCTGTCTCTCTTGTCGGCAGGGCTGCCACATCAAAAAAAGATCTGGAGGCGCGGGGCGGGAAGAGCGTGCCTCATGCCTTGTACGGTGCAATTATTCAAAACACGTGTTGACCAACAACACGGTCCCTCGTGACTGTCTCTGCCTCTGCCTCTGCCTCTGCCTCAGCCTCCACCTTCGTCTTCGCGTCTTTTGTCATGACCTCAGCCCCCCCCCCAGTCGTCTCCTTCGCGCATTCTCTCTCATCCTCTCGCTGCCGTCCCCCTGCCTTCCCTTCCCAGTCCGTTGATCCCGTCTGCTGCCCGCCATGATGATAATGATGACGATGCTGATGATGAAAAAAAAACCGGGGACGGGTCGGTGGCTGTGGATGAACGCAAAGGCTGTAGCTGTACCGCTGGTATCAATCCATCTCTACTCAAAACACACATGAGAAAATCCTGCTACGCGTTGTC